TAGAAAGATAACCTCATTAGTTCCGTTCAAAGCTGTTATTTTTTAACTAACAGTACTGCGCAGTCTTCTGATAAGCGCCAGTTAACATAAAATTGTTTTTAAAGGCTTTTACTGTATGCCAATGGTGACCTACTATCAAACCTAGAAGATCTATCAAACCTATCTTCAAACCTATCTTCTATTTTGCACAGGGGACACAATGCAGTTTTACCGCTTTGCTACAAACACTTCAGTGGTGGAGTAGGGTGGGAGAAAAGACAACTCAAATGCTCAGCTTGATTTGGTATAACAACCAGCAGAAGGAGGAAAAGCATTAAGCTTTTTCCCTGGAATCTGTTGTGACAGAAGGCTACTGCGCATTCACAAAGCATCTTCCCTCTTACTCTTCTCCCTGCCTCAAAAAGTACCAGGACATTTTTTTTGCCCACTTGAACCAATCCATAAAGTACATCAACAGACATGTGGCAACGAAAGTTCCAGCAACGCAAGGGAAATTTAACAACATTGGCGGAAGGAATGCATTTCTTCTCTCCCTACACAGCTCTGTGAGGAACCTGGAATCTAACAGACCAAGTCTAAAATGGGAGATGATCAGGCAGTATCTAACATACGTACAGTGTTTACGCTGTGGCATACTTTCGGATTAAGCTGTATACGGAGTTGACATAATAGATGGTATCTGACAATATGGTTATCTAAAAGCCACATGGAGACACACTTCACACAGTGCCCTGAATCTGTCAGGTAACTCCTTCACAATAATGCTGGCCTCAAGCTCGAATGTGGTTCAAAAGTCAAGAAAGTTCATCATTACTCTAGTCTTTCCTCCCCATTCAAACTGGCAACTCTAGTTGTGGTTGAAATGGCTGCACTGGTGATACAACTGTACTAATTTAGAAACCCAGTATTTGTACAATAAGTACAATTTTTTGAGTGAAAAATATTATGTCCCAATCAACCATACCATTTTCTCTTTTAAATAAAAATAGGTTTTGCACGTCTTATGTAGCAGTGCCAAGTGTAAAATGCTCTTGAAACACTCACTGCACACCACCAAAACCTTAAGGATTCATGAAGTTTTTCGTTCCAATAATTAAAATGCAAGCAGGAAAAAAAGAAAAAAAGAATTAATTTGTCTTTAAATCCTCTTCAACAGCACAGCCATCCTACTCAGCAGCTGTAGAGAGCTAACTAAGCTCCTTAATTCTCTTCTATTTAACCCACTCCTGAAGACTGATGTTATAATGAGATACCAGTAGAAGATTCTGTCCTTTGCCATAGAGCACTGGAAATGATTCCATAAAACAGTCCAGGCTAAACCAGACATTTAACTCTTGTACAACTGGTTAACATAATGCAGTCTGGGAGCTTCTATACTTTTCTACAAGGGGCAAGGCACTGAATGACAGGTCTGCCTCCAGGCAGGTCACAGAGATCACAGTAACCCACCCAAAGAGAAGGAAACCTAGCTGTCACTGTGGGGATAGCAGAAATCCACATAACTAGTAGTTTATATAGTCTGTCAGATGGTTCAGCAGTGATGAATTTTTCTTTCGTTGGCTGCCTGCCACTGAACAAAAGCTAATCTTGCACCTAAACAATCTAGGCATTAAACGCACAGGAAGCCTTTATCTTCTGACTTATGACATAAGATGACAGAGCGAGCTTGTGAAAACAAAGAGGCCCTGCCCTAACAGTCAAGGGCAGCAACCCTTTAAGTACAGTGACATTTTTAACACCCAACCAACTCTACATCTTGGCACTAGCAGTTGATGCATCTGCTTTGCCAGGCATAGATGTCACAGTGGGGAAAATCTGTCTTGGACAGTATAACACAGAAGAGAAACTTAAGACCTCACAAAATGTCCTTATTCATTCTGTCTTCTTGACACATGTGAAAACAGTATCTGAATCAAGTGCTTCTATCCTAAATGAATCCTCAGGTGCTTGTTTCTGTTTCAGGTATGCAAAACTTAGTAGCTATTCACCTTAAAATAATTTCTCTGAAAACAGTGTAAGAATCCACACACAACACCCTCTTAAGAACTAACCTTTGAAATTCTTAAAAAAAAAAAAAAAAAAAAAAAAAAAAAAACACAAAAAAAACAAAAAAACAAACAACAAACAAACAAACCCACAAACCAGCCACAAATGTGCCAAAAAAGATTATTTCCTGACCACTGTTCAGCCAGCAGGTTGAAATGCAGCAGCAGCACCTCAATTTAAGCACACAGTTATGCAATTAAACACTGCAAAGTGTGAAAGCTAAAGTTGTGAAGGAAGCCTTACTGTGGCCATTTCCGGACTCAAATGCAACATAGTCAAGTGGAAAGCTCTGCAGGACAGCTGTTTGTGTACAAGAAGTTCACCTCAACTGAGTTCATTTATTGCAACTTTCAAGTCCTGACTTTATGTTTTAGTCAAATTATAATACATTACCAAGTTAAATGAAGAGAGAAGTGCTGATGCAACTGTATCAGTACCAGAAGTTGACCCTTTCATATGCAGGCAAACTGCAACTATTTCATTTTATCAAAGTGACTCTACCTTAACAGTGATGTATGCACCGCGCTGCATAAACACTGCTGCAGTTTAATTTTTTGTTTTTTCAGTCAGCAGCCCAAGCACTCTGAAGGGCTTCACACAGAGTGACTGCAGCATCCACATAAGAGGCAGGCCTTAAAAATGTTAAAGCTTGTTCAGTGGAAGTTTCCCCATCACTGCATTTTTCAGTAACAAAGATGTTGTCAGAAATGACAATTTTTCGTGTCCCCTGATGATGCCTTGCTAGCATTTGGTTATAAGCCATAAAGCAGGAATAATTTCAGCCTGTCAGGAGTCTAGCTAATGCCCAGTTTCCCCCTAGAGAGAATTCCTGTCAAATGTAATGAGAGCTCCAAAGGCCCTCTCTACAACATAATGAGCACTTAGGCCATGCTGGTGATCAGCCAGCAAAAAGCATCAATTTGAGCCTGGCTACACCCTTGGGGCTAGACGTCACCAGTTTTAATAAGAATTATGATTACTATCTGCCAAAAGCCTCCTCAGAACTTATCGTTAGCGGTGGAAATTCAGAAGAATGTCATTGGTAGGTTTCTTTGTTTCCTGTAATCTAAGACCACCTACATACTGAACTGTAACACCATTTGGCATCCTCATCGCAAGCACCTAAATCAAGAGTCTTTAACATGAAGGTGCTACCATTATTGGAAATTAGAATTACTTAACATGTAAAAGCATAGTATCTGAGACTTATATCCAGGGAAATATATTTATGCCTTCAAAAGCATATTCTTTTCTTAAGACAATACACAGAGCAAGTGTGCTCTACTCTCCCTGGCTAGAACCGACACAGGTATAATGCTCTGTCATAAATCTTAAAAGCTTCCGAAGTATCACTGCCTACTGGGCATGTAATTATAGTTGCCATACATACAGAACATTAAACCCTTGCCATACACAGATGTTAAGGTCAAAATGGAAACCTCAGTTCTGACACTCTTTAATCTTGTGGGCTTAACTGATTTTATCTAAAGTTAATTCCTAGTACTTTTACTGAATTCACACGTTCCCTTCAAATATCTTCTGAAAACAAGATCCATTTTGCACCAAATGAGGCTCCTATATGGATGTTGGCTTCCTCACAGGTTAGTGTGCCAAAAAATGTTGTTTAGGAGAAGGAAAAAAAAAAACAAACCCCAAAAAACCACCAAGCAAACAAACAAACAAAAAACCCACAAGGAGGAAGTCTCCAAATCACAAGCCCTGGAAAAGTCACCTCACAGAAAAAGTGACACTCTGCTAAGAGACAAGAAAGACGACTAATGCAGCTACAGTACAGAACCAAATCAAACACTACTCTAGTTGTTCTATCTACCTATTTGGTGCATTACTTTAGAAAAAAATGAGGTTGTCATAATAGTTCTTTGTTTACCAACGCTTTGGATTCAAACAAGTGTATCTCTAAAAAACAAGAGAATACCTACCCAGCTTTGCAGACAGAAGGTTATCATGGAATTACAGTATTGCCTCATCAAATGTAATATTTTTAGGGGAAAACAAAAGAAAAAAATAATCAAAGAGTTCAGAGTTACAAAAGCAAAATTCAACTCTGCAATTCACTTGCTTAATGAAAGTCTTTGAATATACCGAAGATCCGAAGCCTGAACTAATCAATTTCTTCGCTGTGCCCTAGCCGGTCAGCCATGCTCTTTAATTTAATGAAACAAGAGTTTTAGATGAAATAGCACATACACATCAAGAAGGAATTGTATTGTTGCACTTTGAAATGTGTCCAACTGTGCAACTTCATCTAATGATAATTTTTTTTAGGAGGCCATCGATTTCTGAAAGACTTATTGTACCAGCATCTTGATGAAAAAGTGAATGTCAGCATATCTACAGAATACTTACACCCTGCCATTAATGCTTTATTTGGCAGACAATGACTACTCAATTGAGGGTCCTCCGGGCTGAGCTATCATTTAGCTTTTCTTCTCTTATGAGGTCCTTAGTGTCTTGTTCCAGTTCAATACTCTTTTTATTCACCATTATAGTGGCTATAAGTGTGAATTTTATGGGAACTGGCAAACTCATAGTCATAACTAGAGCTTTCCAAGTCACTAATCTTCTCATGCCTTTAAATGGCAAGGATTTGAGCAACTATCACTACATACGCTACACACACACAAGACCAGTTCTACATATCAAAGGCTCTACCACTAACAAAATAAAACCACATAACGCACTGAATTACATTTTTGAAACCACAGACACAAGACGTTTCTATTTTTGCCAACGTCTTTCAGGACCAGTACCAAGAAAGCCTTGTCGCTCAACCTAATCTATGCCTCATCTGACAGCAGGTAGGCAAAGGTTTACTAATCACAGCCTATTGATTCAGACACACGATACAGTTATCCAAACATAAACAGAACAGCTACATTTAAATGCACTAGACAGACTGCAGATTTTGTGGTTTAGAAAACAAGATGCCTTACCTGTTTGTGCATTTCAATGTTTAATCCATACGACATTTCATAATACTGCAAATAAAGGAGCATACATTATTTTCTTATGATGGCTTACATTGTATTAGGGGCTATTTACTGAAATAAAGAAAAACCACATATACTTACCATCACATAGTGCCTCTGCATTTCTGTCTTTTCGCTTGCCAGTTTCTCACATTCCAATTTAAGGCTACAAAATAGATCACACTTTAATGTAACTTATGTAATTTGTTTTGACATCTACTCACTTTACTTGTATTTTGACAGTAGCAGCTAATTAAAAAAAAACTCATAAACGAACATGCAGATACAGAGAGCAAGACTTAATTCGTACTTTAAATACAAAGGCCGAACAGGAAATTTAAGAGGTATTTCATAGGTGCTGTATGAGACCCAAACTGTTTCTGGAACCCAAATGTATCCAATCTTTATACTTTGACAAAGACCTGCTATGAAGTGCTAGAACTTTCAAGCTGTAAGAGGATCTGAATTTCTCCAAAGTACTTCTCAGTAGTAAAATAGAGGTATTTCTTTGCATAGGACATTTAGTAAATTACTGTCAAGTAACACCACTCATGTTTACAATTACAACTTGAGCATGTCTATAATTCTTAACCTTAAGTACACTGTAGCTCATGTTATCCTGCCCACAGCTTGAAAGTCAGTAACTTTGACTATTACTTAAGAGCAAATTTGTTTTCTATTTTCATTTTCATAAATGACAAGAAGTTGTATTTGGTACTTGCATATCTCATCACTAACAACAATTTAATTCTGACTATTTTCACTGAGGGCAAATGCCTCAACATTCCCTTTGTTCTCTGGCAAAATGATTTTTTTTTTTTTAAATGACACTAGTAAGCAGCCTAGGAAACAGTTAGTGTGTAAGCCAGCATTTTTCACTTACTGCTGCGATACAGGATGCTTATAGTTTACACTGCATTTCTAGAGCAATAAGTGGCTTAAATAAGTTAACAATTTTAGGTAACACTAAGACTACAGTAACACAGGTAAGAAAGAGAAAGCCTAATGAAAACCAAGCGATTTCTAACTGGGAATCCTGCAAAGCTTTTATTCCTATCCAGATCTTGCAGGTGCACACAAGTACAAAATCAAGGAAGATTAACACCCCTTAACTCCAATTGTCCTCTGTACACAAGAGCCCACACCCTAAATCTCTGTAGGGACCTCAGCAGCAAGCAGAAACGCAACAAAAACGTCTGAAGGACAGCACAGCAGTCAGAAACGCATGCCACGGCTTCAGTTGATTCACGTCAACTTTGTGTTAGTACTGCCGTACTTGCGTGCTTTAACAACCCTTCTCGGCTCTTTAAGCATCGCACGCTGGCATTTTATTAATCTTTGCATTAACACCACACACAAATGAGCAAACATGAGAATTAGCCTCCTTAATGCTCTGTGAACAGAATTAGCGCAGCTCTTCTCTCGACATACTTAAAAAAAAAAAAATCCTCCATATAAGGATCCCTAACACATACCGGGTTTTTTTTTAAACGCACCCGAGCGCCGAAGCGCTCCAGCTTCGACATCACCACCCTTTCGCAACTGCCCGGGCAGCAGCACACCGGCAGGAGGACCCGCGCCGGGCAGGGCTGCCTTCATCCCGAGCG